AGAAAGTGACAGAAACATACAATTACTAGTTGTTGAAATGTGATAAAAAATTTTATATGTGCCAGGTCTCCTCCTTTTTCCTTCCACATCCCTCTCCCCTCTAGCCTGTTCTCCATTCAAGGAAAGATGAATGGCAGCTCTATCACTTGCGTCCCTTGTCCTTTGCTTCCTTGTGGATCCATCCTTCTGGTAGGAAACCAGAAGGAGGGAAGAGAGTGAGTTTGGGGTATTAACTACCTGAGCTTCCTCTCTATGGGATGGCCGTACATACCATCTGAATCAAAGGTCTCAGCTCATGTCAGATGGCCTTTCCTACAGCTTTCTCTATCTGCCTCTATTCCTATTTTTGGTAGTAAAGTACTCACCCCAGGAATATTAGCTCTGTGGGACTGCACTCTCCTTTGTGCTACTCTGCCACTGAAAATAATCCCCTTATTAAACTCTCCTCAAATTATTCTAATTCAAGAGTCTCGTTCTTCTTCCCCTACTGAGTAGATCCTGACAATTATGGGTATTCAAAAAGGGTCTTCATTTTTGAAAACTTTCCCAACCACTGCCTTTAGGAGTTAGATTTGCTTTCCTAGAACATTCCTCCATTAATCCACAAGGGGGCAGCTTTTTCTCCTAGATTGTGCAAGTTCCTCTCCCAATTCATACTTCAAGGAAAGGAAAGGCTTGCATTTTGATATTTGCCTATTGTACAGTTATCCATTTACACTGGAAAATTATAAATTGTTTACACTTTATAGCCAAACGAAATTCCTGTTCATATCACAAATGTTCTTTTAACTTTCAATTGTAATGTTACCCTTAATATTTATGTAAATAAAAGTTATTTTTTCCCCTAGATTTGGTATAGATTCTTGCTGAACATTTGGGTGTGGGAATGTCAGCAAAATCATGTGAAATTACATGATTTTAGAAGGTTGTTCTTTGTAAATATTAATATCTTTGAGAAGAACATATAAAAGGGGGGAGGGGGAACGAGAACATGAACAGAATGTGTTTGGTCCAATTAAAGGTGTTAATCACAGGATGTAACTTGTCTCAAGCCAAAGACTTGAAGTAAGTGAGCTCCCCTGGAAACAGCAATAGCAGCTCTGCAATTTGAAGCTTGCATAATCAACTCATCAATCTGTTTCTTTACTTTTTCTGATAGGCATAGAGGAAGAGAAAAAAAAAATGGCTGGAGATTCCTCATATTTTCATTTTTACCAGTCATTAATATGTCATTCAGTTAAACTGTCTCTTGAGTTATCTTTAGTAAAGTACCTTCTCTGATCCATTTGAAAATTTCCAGAATTAATGATGTCTTACAAAACAATTGGGGATTAATTAAAGTTGTTATAGCTTCTGAACTCCAGCTGAACCTTCGCAGGATTGTTACCTTGTGAACTTCCCCCACAATCTCGATTGAGGATGATATAATTATTCCATTTAGGAAACTGCCAGGGTCTACTTTAAAATTTTCACAAATTCCATGTTCACCTATGCTGACTAGTCAGTTAAAGACTGTTTTCTCTACGTTATTTTACCTTTTATCTCAGTTCTGTTACATCATACATATTGTATTATTTTTTAAAGATTCTAAATCAGCATTTCTTCTGATTTTGACTACAATAAAATCAAATATTTCTATCGTATGCCAAAATAATATTCATGTTGTTTACAAATGACAGATAATTTTATGCTCATGTTTCTCTTTATTGTATTTATTTAGAAAAAAATTCCAAACTTACATTTCAAAGACCAAATAAAGAAACATCATTTGAAAAAAAATTCTAGACAGATTCTTATAGAAAATGAACTTTCTCTTACTCTTAATTCCTAACATTTGATTATTGTCTAATTGTTTGACTTTGTTTATTTAAATATATATATAAACACATGTATGTGTATGCAAATACATTCACAATTTGCAAGTAACTCCTCAAATTATTAAGAGTGTATGTTAAAAAATATTGAAATAAAGACCAAGAATTGTCACTGTATGGTTAGTATATGACACATATGATTGCTTAATAAGTTCTTATGTAACTAAATTGTAATCTTATCTACTCCTGGCATCATTACACCAATACATATAATCTAAAGGTAGGGAGTTAAAAAATTATATAATAAAAGCTACAGTGTTTACTCATTTCTATTACAAATTAGTATTACATTAAAATTATTCTTATCTCCTAAAGTAATAGTTCAGTCATTAATAAATTCATTTATTTTTTAATCAATTTATTCTATAGGCTTTTATTAAGAACTTCTAGTGTGCCAAATACCATGTTAGAATTGAGGACATAATTTTGAACAAAAATAGATATTTTAGAATTATTATAATCCAGGACATTAATATCATTGCAATTAATTTCACGACATGATTTCTTTGTCACTTCCGGTTTAACACTATTATCTGAGAAACATCATATTTTGACAAAAATATAGTACTATTTGACTAAATATAATATATTAACTGAATTTAGTTTTCTCTTTGAGGAATAAGGATCTTACTTTATATTCCCACAGTGTAGAACATATTAGGCCTGACATTTATGTACACTCAGCATATACCACATAACAGAGCCAAATCATCCATTCATTATATATCACACGACATACCCAAAGCCTGGTATTGTGAAGTACATGAAGGCATATCAGAAATGGATTCTCTATGAGCAGTAAAGGTGATAAGGGACATAGACACATGTAATCCCAGTGTAAGGCAGTCAAAGATAGTGCTTTGGAAAGTGAAAATGTGAATTCAGGGTAGAAACAGGTTATTCCCAAATAAAGGATTGAGGAAAGATGCTTTGGGAGAGTTAGCTTTTGAGCTAACTCTCAAGGATGGTAAGAATTTCACCACAGAAAATTCAGTAGACACAAAAGGGAATAGATAAGATAGCAGAAGCAAATAAAATGTCCTTTTACATGTAAAATACACTTCATTAAAATAAGATAAAAATTTTCTTCCCAAGATTATTCTGTATTGCTATTACTTTTTAATACACAAGCGAGTTCAATAATTCTAGTATATACTTCTCAAATGTTCAGTGGTAAGTTATCCTAATCCTATATTTTTCTTCTTCCTTATCTCTTTGGGTCAGTTAAACCCATTTAAATCTCACCATAAGAAAGAACTAGAAAACATTTCATTTTTAGCAAATTATCCCCAAATCTCTTTGATCTAAATGTAGCTCTCTATAGAGCTACATGAAGGAATTATTTTAATCTATTTTAGGTATATTTGAAGTGTATTGCTATATTTTGTACCAAAGGATTTCTGAAACCAGTTACAGAATTTTATAGTATGGCTATTTTTATGAATTAATGTGCAACAATGAATTTGATTGACAATATTAGCAAATGTTCTAAATGTGTATCCAAATTGCATACAACACTCTGTTGAGTATCTGTGATGTGATGCAAATGTTTCCCAAATCCTAAATAACTGTGCTGTGTTCCAGTAGGTAATTGGAAAAATTATATATTACCCACAGCAGAAGCACTTGGCTCATGATGGCTTTAAATCTGTGACAGATTAACCAGTTACTCAGTTTGAAGATGGTCATTTCCATAGTGATATCTTAACTCAGACTTGGCTTTCAAGATCTGTTCACACTCATCCTATTCCTAACTGCCCACAGTATTCTAAGTAGAATTTCTCTCCACCTCCTTCACTATGCTATCCCTCAGGCCACGGAAAATTCAAACTTCTTCTGTAAATCTAGATTACTTCCACACCAGGACAACCTTAACATTGTTTCTTTGTCAACTTCCCTCACCCAAATGATACTTAGCAAGTCCTCAAGGAGACTTACTATTCAAGTGTCACCTGCCAATAACCTTGGTTGACAAATGATGAATGTCATAAAGATTTTGCAACAACTGGTTCTCTTGGCTTCTCTCAGATACGTAGAGAATCTCTTAAATATCACATGACCCCTTTGCTATGACACATATTTTTTTAAGGAAAAATACTTTGATAATTGAATTTTCTAAAATTACATTTGTTCTATATTTATTTTATTAATAATTGCCCCCAAATAGAAATGACTCAAATGTCCTTTAACTGGTGAATGAAGAAACAAACTGTGATTTCTCTAATACAAACAATGTATAGCAATAAACAGGAGTAAAATATTGATACAACATGAAGAAAAAACCAAATGCACTATGGTAAATAAAGAAGCCAGACCCAAAAGGATATCAAATTACTTCTACTTATATGACTTCCTAGAAAGGGCAAAACTATGGTGACAAAAAACACATTATTGCTTCCAGGACCCAGGCATGTGGGAGAAGTTGGTTATAAAGTCTCATAAAGAAACTTTTAAGGTGATGAAAATGCTCTGTTTTAATTTTGGTGGTCATTATACTGTAGTTTGCATTTGCCAAACTTGTACAACCATACCCTATATGGGTAAATTTTATTGTATATTAATAATACCTTAATGAATTTGATTGTAAGAAATAAAAATTCATGGATAACACAAATTTTGGTTAATCTAAAGAGATATATTCAGTGATCATTAGCTATCTATGATGAAAGGGTTTTTTCTTTTATTTCATTCATTTAATATTTTAAGATTTTTTTTCCCCTTTTGAGAATACAGATAACATTTCCTTATCTTTTGTTTTACAAATGAAAATGGCACTTGAGGAAAAAAGCCACACTGAAGAAGTGCCTTGTTATTTTAATTATAAGTTCACTAACATAATCTCTACAAAAACAGTATTTAGTTAAATACCGGCTTGTTTAATGAATTAATTGGTTCTGATAATCATCTAGTCTTAAAATAACACACTACTATTTCATTGCCTGTAGTTGCAAGACTATTGTTTTTTTAACCTCTCATAGTCTAGGAAGCAATTAACAACATAGAAAGATAGTAGAGGAAAAGCAACTGCTTGAAAGGCTCATATAACATATTCAGATTCAATAAATAATATAGTAGGATCAGAGACAGTCCTGAGAAGGGTGGTAATTTAGATGGCGAATGCCTTACCTTTGCGTTTGAGTGGCATAGCTGTTATCATAAGCCTCATAGGTCTGGTCATCGTATTCACCCCCATAGCCATCATCATACCCCTAGAAGGAAAGGGGTACAAATACCTATTAGCAATCAATTTGAAAACGTGGATCTACTTTAGGCTAATAAGATTTTATGCAAAGTGACCTTGGGTTAGTTTTTATGCTTGGTTAGTAACCACACATCCCATTTTACTTGATTAACAATTCCCACATAACCTTGAATAATATTACATGGGTCAAATATTAATGTTCTTTAATTAAGCTGAACACATCAGAGAAGTAGAAATATCCCCTCTAAGATTTCCTGAGAGTTTTGATTAAAACTAATGAAGACCATTGAAGAAATTCAAAATAACTTTTTTTCTGAAAATATTACGGGTAGAAAGTAACAATCTATGTGATTGCCTGATAGTGGTGCTAACAACGTATTTGTTGCAACCCACTGGGAGGTTTCTTTTCTTTTCTCCTAATAATAATCATAATTAAGACAGAAATATAAAGAACCAGATCCTTAATTTGTAGTTAACTTTCAGTAAAAAGGGTGGACTCATTATTCAAAAATGAATAAAAGAAAGGAAGAAAGAGGAAAAGAAGCTGGAGTGATATAAAGATCTTTTATTTGTTGCACAAACTTTATGTTTTAAAAAAAAAATCTCACAAATAAAATAATGCTGGGTGGTGAGTTTGGTTACCTGACTAAATTATGCTGATAAAGTGAACACAGATTTGTCATTGCAGAATGTGCAAGCAAGCTAGCAATTATACACTCCCAGTTATCAATCACTCTGTGAGTGATTTAGTTTTATTTCCCTTTGTGGTCATTGACTTTAAACCCTAGCCATCCATCTTGATTACTCCCTAGTTCTGGAAAAAAAAAAAAATCTTTAGCTTTTCTGCCTCTGGATCTTTTCTGGTACATTTCTTTCCATGGAATGTATTTCCACCCTACCATACCATTTCATATCTCCATTTCAGTCTGGAAGCTTAGGAATTTCTCTTTTTGTTCTGTGATAGAAATTGAAACAAACTGTCAAGATGAAAAAATTTCAATATCCTTGTGAACCAAAGCTTTTGAACAAATTTAACCTGAAGACTAATTTTTATTATTTTAAAGAAATTTTAAAATTTTATTACTTTATTTATTCTTTTCCCTATGGTTTGCCCTTTATATAATGCTACTATTTACACATGTGATCTTTTAAATCTGACTTCCAGTCTTTTGTTTTTCTATTTGTAATTTCCATTTCATCATATTTGTGCTCTGGGATATGGGGTAATTTCCCCATTTGATCTTTGAACCTTCTAACGTGGTTCCTATTGAATTGAAAAATATTTAAGCATTCTAACATTGCCTTTAGAATAGTATTTTAAGAGATCTTTGATAAGTAGAAAGCATATCATAATCTATAAAAGATTTACAAACCAATTATTTAATATTGAAAAAATAGTAGTTATTTTTCTTATTCTTCAACAACCAGTTTTCTCTTAGTAGTTTTATTTATTAATTTAGTATTTATTTATGATTAAGCAACATAGCTAGTGTTGCTTGATTTATGAATTTTAGTGTGTTCTTTTTTTTTTTTTAATTGACCAGCCACTCAGGTTGTTCAATTTTAGTTCTATCATAGAATCCTCTTCATATTTCTCCCCATTTCTGTCTTCCTAATATACTTTGATCATAAATGCTCTTAAATAGTCAACATCTTTTTTGTTAAGTAATAATACATAATATATATTAATGATCGAAATTGATTGATATAATTTTAATTGTATTATATGTGTTTTCAGTTCTTTCAAAGTTAGTAGTTGCTCATTTTATTATTTTCTTGATTGTTGATATATTTAGAATCATTTATCTTTTAACTGTCCCAAAAGTCATATTAAGTTGGCAATGTTTTGCCTATCTCAGTTGTACATTCCTGTAATCTTTGTCACTGGAGGGGCTGAGGCAGAGGGGCTGAGGCAGAGGGGATGGCAAATTTCAGGCAAGCCTCAGCAACTTAGTGAGATCCTCAGGAGCTTAGTGAGACTCTGTTTCAGAATAAAATTTTTAAAAAAGGATTGGGTATATACCTCAGTAGCAAAGTGTCCCTAGGTTAAATTCCTAATGTGAAAATAAAAACAGAAACAAACAAAAGATATTATTTCTAAATATTCAAAAATGTCAGATAATCTATCACTTCTTTGTAGGTTACATGGAGACTACTTCCCAAAGAACAGCATCATTGCCCTGTGGTCCAGATTGATGAATTTCTAGGGAGAGGGATTTCCCTAAGATCTCCTTTCCTTGTTCTCATTTCTCACTGAAGCATCTTTTTGGGGAACCTCTCTTAAGAGGTATATTGGAGAGAAATATTTTGATTTTTCTCCGTTTTCCTCTTGTTTATCTTTATACTACTTCTCCTCCCCACCCCAGCTTTTTTTTATTTTCTAGGTGAAAAATTCCAATGGTACAGAAAAGTTTGACTAAGAGTATAATGGAAATTGAATTATCCTTCTGGACTCATTAATTCTTGATATTTTGTCACATTTCTAAATATTTCAGCTTGCATCTCCTAAACATAGGGCATTCTTATTTTTAAATAAAAATATGATAATATTTATAAAGTGATATAAATTTATAGCATTACTGCTTCTAAATCATAATAATTACATAGTACTGTGAAATCCCTAGTCAAAGTTTCACAATGATTCCAAACATTTATAAATTTTATAGTTATTTTAATATTTTTAGCCACTATTAATAACTATGCTATATTCAAGTGGACTTATTTTAGCTTCCATATAGGAGAGAGAGCACAGTACTTGTTTTTCTGTGTCTGGCTCTTTTCATTTAGCATAATGTCCTCTAGTTCCATCCATTTTGCTGCAAATGACAGAATTTCTTTCTTTATGACAGAATAACGCTCCATCATGTATGATGTTTTGAAATTTCACAATGCCATGCCTATGCGTGACTCTTTTTCATTCTTCATGCTGAATACTCAATATGCTCTTTCAGTTTAGAGGTTTGGTATTCTTCATGTCTGAGAGATGTCTTAACATTTGTCTTCTCCCCTTCAAGAGTTAGGCATCCTTCCTTATTGAAAATTTGGAATAGGGACTTGGAATCAGGTTCAGTTTATGCTCATTCATTCATTCATTCATTCATTCATTCATTCAATAAACATTTGTTTGAGTGCCTACTATATGCTAAGTATTGCTCTAAGAGCTAGAAGTTTAGTAATAAAACAATAAAAACAAAAAGGAAAACCAGGGAATCAGACATAAGTATTACAAAGTCTATACCTACACAAAGAAAATGGCACAATAAATCAGGGTACTAGTGAGACTGAATCTTCTACATTGGTATGTTAATCTTTTGTCCTATAGGATACCTCTTATCCTTTCCATTTTACCTAGAGAGAATTCTTAAAGTTCTTCTTCCAACCATTCTATGAAATATTTAACTTCAGACACACACACACACACACACACACACACACACACACACACACACAGTAGTAGAAGATTTCTTCATCCCAGGCGCACTTTAAGCTTTCTGTTCTCAACCCAAAGACTCATCTCTCTCTGGTGAAACAACCTCAGTTGGAATTTCCTAGCGCTGTAAAAGGACAGTCCAGCACTCTCCCTGGGGATCCACCTGGGTTGCTCACATTGTGGGATCAGTGGTACTTGCCACAGGTGCCTCAGAGGGCACAAAACTCTTTTCAAATGTCTAGGTTCCTGGTCTTCCACCAAGATTATAAAATTATGGCCTCACTCATCTTTTCCTTTTTTATTCAGGAATCATGAGTTCTGGCTTCTAATAGGAGGTAAGGATGTATTAATTTGTTTTGTTTCATTTTATTTATTTATTTTTTATTTACATCTCATAGCAAGGAGCTAGAAGAGCCAGGGTGAAGGCAGGTAAGTGTTTCAGGACTCCAGATTCCCTGACTTTCCTATCTTTCCCTCATTTCTATTGTTGAAATGCTACTGATCTTCAAAATAATTTTATATGAGGCAATCTTTAGGAAGCTTTTCCTCCCCTTACAGAGCATAGGATGAGTTTGAGTCCTCTCCATTTTAATATCGGGTTGTTTTCTCTCTCTGGTACATAAAATGTCTAAGATAATACTGTACTTATTTTTCCAAACTTTTCCCTCATTTTAGAATTTAAGTTCTTAAAAAGGATAATGTCATAGTTAAACATTTCTTTCATGTTTTTGGTGATTAGCACAGTGCATTCCATAAAGTAGTTATTTAATAAATATACATTGAGGTGTTAGTTTAAGCAAGAAAACTAAAACTATCTCTTCTAAGGTAGATATAAATTTGACTCAAATCAAATCACCACTAAAAGAGCAATATTTCAAATGATAAATATACTTATCCAAAATAGATTTACCAATGGATCTGGGGAAATTATTACATTTTACTTCCTCACTTACAATATTACTTTTTTTTAAGAAGTACATTGGAAATCTATAAAATAGATAGAAAATTTCCCTATTAATCCCCAGTTTTCATAAAGCATATAGTACAACGGTCCCAAATAATTGTAGTTACTATAAAAGAGAAAATAAATATGAATACATGCATATCATTTACTTTTGTTCTCTAATACTCGATATAATTTTAAGTCATCTTTTAAATAAAAATATTCACACACATAAATATTTATAAATTTATTTGTACATATGAAAGTATTTAAAATGCATAGTACTACAAAACAGTGAACCATCAATAGACCACAGTCACAAAACAAAAAGGATCATAATGTTTAGGGTGCCAACACTCCATCCTAAATATTAAAAACAGAACAATAAATTATTCATAAATAAAAAATTCTCCTTGTATAAATCAGATGGTTTTTCTTATGGTACTCTAAGAGAGTAATAAGTAGGTAGCTTTCTGAAAAAGTAAGAGAAGAATGTTCTGGAACCTAAGACAGGCAGAGATGATAGCACAGCCGTGAAGACATCAACTCTGGCTTTATTCTACCTGGATTCCATTCCTAATGAGATTCCCCAATGTGGAAGCTTGGCCAAAGTTTCAGTCTTTCTAAACCTCAA